GCATACCAAGTATTTTTTCCTGCACACAGACTTTATGTTCTCAGAGCATTTCGCAATGCAAGCACACCAAATCATCCTAGACAGCAGCCTCATTTTAATAAGTTATGAAAGCTTATTTTTTCCCATAATGGGAAATACCTGCAAATGAAGTGAAATTTATTAAAATGTTAAATGCACTGTCAACTTGCAAACAATTATCTACTTAAGCTTTTCATAAAGAAATAATTGTTACCCAAAAGGATTCTGAAACTCAGTAACTGAAGGAGGAAAATAAGTCTCAGCATTTGCTTCCTCACTAATGATATGTGACAACCAGGAAGGCTTCTATTTCAAAAACAATAATAATGATTACAACTTCCCCTGTAAACAAGTCACATTTTTCTGCAACTTCAAATTGTACCTCAGTTATTATAACATTTAACAATAAAGCAACAAAAGTTGACATCCAACAACGGGCCACAATTTTAAGGGTTCAATACGGCTAAAGGAAACTACTTTTGTAGGATAGCGATGAGGTTTCTGGACTCTCTTTTTTAGCTCTCCAAAGCATGTTTAATACCAAGTGCAAAGTACAGTCCAAAAATCAGTCAGGCTGACTTAGTTTAAACTCTAATCTGTTAAATACATGACAACAGTTACTATCTCTTGAGATCTTTAAACTTCTTGCTGTGTTGTGACCTCTCTTTTTCTCTAAAACCCTTCCCTGCCTCAGAGAAAGGCCAGTCGTCCCCCCCACCACCCCCTTCCTTTTTCTCCTTCAGACAGGACACAGTCTGGCGACTCAAGGCCTCCCATAGGCCAGACTTCCTTCTGTGCAGCCCTTTGGGTAGAACTGCTAATCCTTCTTATTAATTAACGAGATAACGGTGGTTAACCGGAAAGCAATATTAATGCTAACTATCTAGGAAACTTCAACCAAAATTATTTTAGCCTTTTGGTTGGTTTTCCCAGTGCACAGAATTGTGCACTGAAAATGTGGCAACATTTTGATGCAGAACCGAGAAATTCTGGAATGACTGATTTATATCACACCTTAACACATAGGTTTCCTCTTTCAGGGTTTCTCTTCTTTTTTTTTTTTAACATTTACCCTGTTACACATTACTAACTGGAGAGAAAAGTGAGGTCCTCTCAACTTGTTACTATAAAATCTGGAAGTGTGGAAACTGAAGGGACTAGAAATTGCATGATAAATAAGCAGTGATGTATGTGACTGAAAGCAACAGTCATAACGAATGCCTTACATAGCACTACATTCGGTTTGTCCTCCACACACTTGTCATAGTACACCCTGCATCCTACAGGACACTTATGTCCCAGGAAGGTGTGTTGTGCAAGCGTTGCCTGGTTGTTGTTTTGCTTTGTTTTGTTTTGCTTTCATGAATGCAATAACAAAGACAATATGGGGAATAGGTACCACCTGCCCAAGAATCATTGGACATCTTTAATATCTTAGGGAAAATGGAGACCACTTTAGAGCTATTTTTTTCTTTAATCTGTCACAATCTTTAAAAAAAAAAAAAACCTAAAAAAAGAAAAGGTTTTATATTAACTAAGGTTTGCTGCAGCAAACAAGCAAGCAGCTTTCATTCAGGGATTGTCAAAAACTTTCCAGTGTGCCCACTGCAATGCGGATGCCAACCAACGAATCAAAGGCATTCAGCAACTAGACAAAGAGGGTCTGATGCCAACCTCGGTGCCACTGGCAACCATTATTGGCATCAAACACAGTGTCTGCCTTTTTTTTTCCCCCTCGCCTGGCACTTCACAAACAAAATGGCGGTTCTTGTAGCAACGAAACAGCCGAAGCGCAGCCCTCTGAATCAATAACGTCAAATGATTTTATGGATTTAAACCCAGTTAGTCCCAAATGATGTGTACATTTTAGGTAAAGTGGGGGGGGAGCACGTAATTTTATAAACAACTATATTGAGCAGGACCCTTTGCTAATATAAGGAAATATTAAAATGGATTAAATTGCGGTCAACCAGAGTATATGCATAGAAGAAGCTGAATAACAAAGAGATCTACCTTTAGGGGACATACTGCCTTGCGGCCATGTGATGCAAAAGTCTAATGAACTGTCGACTAAAAATTATTTCAGAATGCATAAATTTTTCCCAAAACCATATCAGATGCATGTGTAGCACTATAGTTTGTGTCAAAGCTCTAGTAACTCTTTCCACATTTCAGAAAAGATGAGGCTGCTTGCTGGGCATGAGGAAAGAAAAAATAGTGTGGGTTGAACCAAAAGAGAAAGAGGGAAAAAGAGAAGCATAGGAAGTTGGTCAACAATGGACCTTTATTATATGTTGGTCTTTATTTCATCCTCCAGAAGAGATGCAGTATGTGATCTTGTATAAATAACCAAGAGGACTATTGACATTTCTAGATCTGGAAATTGTCAATATATTGTAACATCACTCCACACTGCAATGCGGATGCCAACTAACAAATCACAGGCATCCTGAGCTAAACAAAGAGGGTCTGATGCCAATCCTGGTGCCAGTGGCAACCATCTTTGGCATTCTCTCTGTTCTTTCTCATGTTTTTCTCCCAGTCATTTACAAGTGGGGAGAAAGAGGAAAAAGGGGGGAAAGGTAAATTTGTTGTTCATTCTGTTGCAAATATTACATTTTTCTTTTCAAATTTTTCTTTCATGTTTCTCTTTATACTTCTTTAGCTGATTTATAAAACAGACTTAAGTGGATTATCATGTACTTAGAGGAGAAATAAAAAGTCGATGGGAGATATGCAGCCTTCATTGACTACAGACTTATCTTTTAAAACTGCCTTCTTTAATCAACTGCACTGCAAAATGCCATAATTAACTACCCTTGACAAAGAAAAAGGCATAAATTCTGAAAAAGAGAAAACACAAAAGCATCCCGATGTGACTTTTTCAAAGGAAGAGTCAACAGATGTTAGGAGAAGATGTTGCACTTGCAGGTAACAGAGGATACAAATTAGATGTACAGGGTAAAATAATAATACATTCTTACAATAGAGATTGTGGAAACAACGGAAAAATCAATGTTTTATCCGAAAATATGGTCTCCGAGAGTTGCTTAAAACTTTATAATTATCAGGACCGATGGTGCAATGCAGAAGGCATTTATGCATTTTGCTCTTTTTTCAAACTATCTTCACAAATCCAAAAGATACGTTCTTTATTGTCAGTTCATCAAAACTAAGAGAGTTGGCGGCCTGCCCCAGGAGTAAATGTGCATGCATGCACACCTCAAAAACTAGCCTTCAAGCAAGTTAAAATGTGAGCGGCAGTGAGGTGATTGCAAATCTTCCCTCTCCGCACTAAAAAGTTACATGACCCACTTTTAAAAACTTTACTTCCAGTCTTGACTTTCACAACACGGTTACAAAACGTTTATAGTCAATCTAACACATATATACAGCCCACCTTAAAATGTCACCTCCTAGACAGCTGTCAATCAAATTAAGTGTCATGTGTTAATGAGCTTTAATTTTAGGACACACCGGATGAAAATATATTTTTCTCAAGCCATCATTATTTGGACTTTAATTCTTAAATATGTGGAAATAGAAAATGCAATGTTTCTTTTTTTAAGAAAATGTAATATTTCCAAATGTGTGATGTCCAACATCCTAATTCAAAATCAGACTAAAAATTATAAAATGAGATTTAAGCATACCTCTAAAACTACACAAAAGAAATATCAAGATAAAAGGCACATACTAAGTAGCTAGATTTCTGAGTCAAAAGAGTAATTTTGACATTTTATTTTTTTGGATGATAATAAAGTTCATAGCAATTTATTAAATCCCACATTTATATAACGGACATCAGATAACCGTCTGCCACCTGGCTATCTGCAGGACATTTTCCCTCCCACCAGGCCAAGTTCGGAAATGACCCACCATCTGTGGCAGCTCAAACTTCAGTCTACTTTTGGTATGTTGCTTTTTTCTTAAATGATGTTTTACTATGGACTGTTGCGAATGCAAAGACATCTATATCCTGACACATTTATTTGAAGACAAGAAATTTTCACCTACTTAAGGAAAATATATTAAGAAAAATAAAAATAATAAACATTTTATTAACTCAAATACTCAGCAATATCACTTATTTTTAATTATGCAGGCAACATTTATACCACTGTCTTTATCAAGTTTTTTTAAATAACAGGTATAGTATGTGGTTTCTGCATTCTTTTTAAGATTTATTTTAAACCAGTATAACCAGTCCACTTTCTGTTTTTGTTCTGTAAGGAGAGCTGCGGCTTTCCTCCTCAGTAAGTTTCATGAATTTACATTCAAGTAAACTAACAATATTAAGTGTTCCCAAGTCACTCTGGGAAAATACTATAAATAATTAAACAAGAACTAAATTCCATTTAATCTACATCTAATATTGCACAATCAAAAGTAGGTACTGGTAGAACTATTAAAATTAAATAAATCTAAGTCTACATAAGATACAGTTTTTGATATTGGCTATCTTAAGCATTTTGTAGTAGCAAATGTTAATTCTATTTTCAATGCAATAGCACTAGATTCATGAACAAAGTTCTTCTACTTCATTAATTAAGAGGCTAATACAAAGATTATGAAAGAGTGGTTTGACTTCATAAATAAAGTTACATTTTCAAATTCGGAAAAGATGACTAGATTTAAGAAATGCAGCCTAGGAGAGAAAGTGAAATGCAATAAACTGTACTTTTAGATTACTCTGTCCTTGAAAAAGTATATTATTTCAAAGACACTTGAAAACGTATCTCTTTGTGGTCTTTCTATAAATATCCAAGCCTAGCCAGGTATGAAAGCTCTGTGTCTATTTACATGGTTCACACATGGCAGTGAACATGTGAGAGAAAGTGGGCACACCACTGTACCCAGAGAGGGTGGAGGAGATCTAGGGGCCTCGAGGACCACGTAACCCAAGCCAAGCCAGATATTCCATACACAGAGGTTTGTGGGCAGTGTTTGCCGTGCTAGAAGAAAGAACAATCTGCTCCTACCTTGCTCCTGCACGTAGTATGCCAAAAACAAATCAAGCTCCTTAACTGATACTGTGATATGATGTGGCTGGACACAAAGTGCTGGGTTTGTGCAATGTGGGGATTTCATGAGCCGCTCTCCATCGGTACTTTCCAAGGGGATGCCTTTGAACAGGATCACCATGACTAGATCCAGACGCCAGACTTTGTCTGCCTGTCGCAGGCAGTCGATTCTCCTAATCTTACCCTTCTGGTCGGGATTGGATAAGACACAGCACGGGTGCTTCTTGCCAGTCACGGTGAGCACAAAGTCCTCTCGATACTCCTGGCGAATATCTTTGCGTAGTTTGGCCAGGAGCCTGGATGCCCACTTCTGTTTGATTTCAGGCTTTTCACTGAGAAGCTCATCTTTGACTGCTCTTTCTTCATCCTTTGACATTCGCTTCTCATGCTTTTTAAAGTACTTGCGTTTTCGAGCCTGCAGGTTGAACCAAGTATAGGCGATTGCACGGACATGTGGAAGAAGTGCCTCGATGAATGGGTGAAATTCATCCTGTGAAAGATGAGGGAGGGAAAAAGATGTGCATAGTCAGTTTAATTTTTAAAAGCTCAAAAATAAGACCACAATCCATTCCCAATTCAGTACAAAAAGTTATGCATGAAAACAGCATTCTTTCCTTATTTAAAATTATCCAAATAACAGGACAAGAAAATAAAGTATGCCAAGCTGTCCCCTTTCCACCAAAATTCACAGGTCAATTCTCCCTCCTGCAAAGAAAATAAGGTTTATATTTTGTATTCACACTCTGGCCCCATCCCCCTCATTCCCACCCCAATGCCATGCATTCTACATTCTTTAAAACATATGCAACCAATGTACTTGGCACCTAATATTTAAATATTTGATTGACCAACTAACACTAGGCAGTACCATTTTACAAAGAACACAGTGAGATTTTTTTTTAACCGAAGCAGAGCTGTTCAGAAGGCAGGAGCGATGCCACAGTTCATTTCTCTTCTCTGTGGCACAGAAACACAAAGCATATAGATGCTCAGTGTAATGCCACACAGTTCCCGCTTTTGGAGCATGCTCTCAGCAAGAGGCTGCTGGTGGCACAAAGAGCATGCGCCATTAAACTTGATCCATTTTCTTATCAAACGTCCAACATTCCAACACTGAAACAGCACCATTCCAAGAGTGGTAACTAGAGAAACCGGTATACAGTGAGGGAAAGTGGGCAAAGGACACAGCTTGTCGTATCGGTGTCCTGAACAGAAGGTTTCCATACTTTGAGCAGTGCATTCTCTCCCTGCACCAATAACACCAGCTCCCAATTCTCTCTCTCTCTCACTCTCATGCTCTCTCACACACACTCTTGCATTTTTAAATAGAAGTTTTCAAAGTTGAAAACAAAAATTACATGAATGTTCTTCCAGCAGCTTCCCTATAGAATATGAAGCCCCACAGAGTCAGTTAATTTGTTAACTGATCACATGAGTATAGCAATTATTCTAAACCCCTTAAAAATCAATCTGAGGTGAACAATGAAAAATGGCAACTTGGCACCAACTTTACATTCTTTGTGTCTCTGCATGCTGTGGCAGGGTGACACCAGGAGTGTACTGCTGGTCAGTTACTGCTTTTGTGGAATCCAGACAATTCTTTTGCCATGTAGATGAATTCTCGGATAGAGCTGTGAGTGTACACATGCATGTGCTTATGAATCCACATGTGTATAGATTATATAGTACCCATCTTTTGAATTAAGTGGTTTACCGGTAGGCTCCTGTATTTGTCCTGCCTGTTTCATCCAAGCCTCTTTTTAAGGGAGGGGGCGGTGAGGAATGTTAGATAATCTTTACCTACAGATATTTCAAGTTACTTCCGAATACAGTCAGTGTTTCATTACTTCCTGATTTAGGTAAAACCTGCCTTATAAACTTAGGCCTATTACTGTTCAGAGAAAGAGTTTAAAGTCCTGTGCAGGCACACCGTATACATGCAATAAACCAAGATCTGAATCGAATGAAAACTTCCACTGGACCACTTAATGATCACATTGACTATATTGACATCCCAACCACAAAATAACTTGCTCTAACTGACTGTATCCCAAGTTAGTATTTACTAACTCATGTTAATTACCCTGAATTATTTGTAATAAATTCTATTTAACCAGCAGACTAATTAATTCCATTAGGTAAAGGTGACGAAAGTACAACTAATGACTCTCTAACAAAGAAGGGGTCAAAAAAATTCCATATAGCTATGAATGCATTTTAAAATGAAATTCAAAGTTTTAATGCTAAAGGCTGCAACATGTTAGCAGTTTGCAGTTCAGATACAGAAGAGGTGCATGTCCCATCCAATCAATAGTGTAGTTATCAAGTGTTCTAATGTATTACTATAAAATGTTTCTACAACAGAATAAGTATGAATCAAAATTTTATAACAATACAGAATGCAGATGATTACATCACAGCATGAGGCATAACCAAATGCCATAGAGGAAATCATTAAACTGATCAGTAGTTTCCAGCAGAGATTTGAACAATTCAGTTACTATGCGAGCACATTAAACTAGGCCATGGAAAGAGTTAAACCACAATCTGTTCTTTGTGTGGGAAGGCAGCCCTGCTCACAGCAACCACAGCCCATGATAAGACCTCCCTATCTCCATACACTTTCTGATGCCATGCTTTTAGCTTTCACTGTAACTACAAAAACTTTGTTTATCCCCTTTAGAAATATATGCAAAAGGAAAGCCTGCTCAAGGAAATGTGGACTTAAATGAGCTTGGGGAACTCACTTCCTATAATCTGACTTGTACCATGATTTATTGATATGACTGAAAATATGCATATATGCACTCATAAACTAAAAACTTGACAACGTAAAGAATACATGGGGCAGGGGTGGTATGGGCTCTGCCTCATTTTATCCTTGTCATTCTTTTAAAAATGCAATATTATTTTAACAGATATTGAGCAATGTTAATAACACTTAAGTACTTATGTCCTTAAGTACTATGTTCAGTGACATTTCATTTTCTTATAAAGACATCAAACATAGTTTTGATTAAATTTGTTTGAGTTTCAATATTTGACCATAAACATCATCTATCAAGCAACAAATCCCAAAATTGTAATAAATTATTTTAAACAGCCAGAATGCAAATTCGAAGGTTGAATTTGGAAATTTTGTGTGCAAATGCACACAATTTAGATTTTAAAGGTTGTCTTAAGTTTGCTGTCAATGCTGCCAAATATTGTTTTAAAATGTATATTTTTAAAATTGATAAATAAAGTGGCAAACTTTCTCAGGCTACCAATTTTGCCTTATTAATACCTTTTAGGTCTCCACTATTATATGAATTCCTTTTAAGTGAAATGCTTATTTGACAATCTGAGGGACATAACCGCCCAAAATGATTATAAGTGGAGATTTGCTATAAGTCACATATATTTCTGCATTAATATGCCTAAATGTCATCTCCCAAATATGACTGTTTTCTAATGCTGAGTAGCAATATATTCTTAAGATTGTGAGTGACATGAACATGGAGCATAGTGTCCTCATAAAAAAAAAAAAAAACAATTAAAATATTCAAATGTCCTAACTAATGGATTACCACAATAACAGTAAATAATTATGATAATTATATTTTTAATAAAGCAAAATATATAGGTGATTTAAAATCAAAGGAATCTATACTAGAGTAATATGCAACCTTGCTTTTCCAGAATTTTTATTAAAATGCACTACTGTTCAGTAATTCTTTCTTTTTTAAAACTTCCTTTAATTGAACTAAACTGACAAAGTACATAACCAAGTTACAAATATATTTGAATATATTTATATATTTTGAATATAAAAGTAATGAGTCTTAATTCCATTAGGCATATTTATTTTTCTTCATGGAAACAATAGTTTCTATGAAGAAGATGGATAATCAGACCAACATAGAGGTGGAACAGTAAATGCGAGGTGTTCTTGGAGCATTGCTATATAATAATACACCAAGAAAAAATGCACCTAAAGAACTTAAAAAACAACAAAAGAAGAAAAAAAAATTAAATGCCATCATGCCAGTTGAAAGTTATATTATTAAGAGTTTACATTATTTTTAAACAAATTTGAAACCATATGTGATGGTTTTTAATTTTCCTTTTACATCTGGTGTATACTGATGTAGAAATACTGATTTATATTTATGTAATGATAACGTAGCATACTATTTTGCTAAATATTAACCTTAAGGGTAGCTTCTTTCTGAAACATAGAAACCTTGTTGCAACAACTGAAATACTTTTTTAAAGTTTTCAACAAATTAAGAATGCTACTCTGTTTTGAATTTACATGTCCTTAAACAGGTTTTACTACAGCTATTAGGCTCTTGTGATACAAAAACTAAACTACTGATTTGATACAAAAGTAACACTGTTAATGTGGCCTCACTGGTGCAACGCCTACACTACCTATAAAGTCACATAGATATTAGTTAAGTAAAAATTCTTAAGCTAAATTCCTTCTCTGGTATAGGCCTTAAATCCCCAAAATGGCTTTAATACATCAGCCTTGATTTATATTATTAAAATAGCAGAGAAGGTTAGTCATCATGAATTAGTGTTGGTAAGTACGTACCTGTGAACACTAATGTGATAGCTGAATGATTATGCCATATATGTTCCTAACATTCCGTATGTCCCAATGCTACAATATTATTTTTAACTTACACACATTACGATAAGACTAGTGACTTTTCAATACATATCTAGAGGAGAATACAATTGCAATATAATCCATCACTAGTAATGTTTCTGAAGAGTTGATGCTGGAAATATCAATATAGAAAATGCACAATTATTCACTCCTTTACAGGTGAGAATAAGTGATGCAGTACTTTGTAAGTGAAAAGCTTACTTTGGTTTGTTTCATTTGATCCCAGTGTAAAAATAATATTAAATAGACATGGTTTACCAGAAAGAGAGAAAAACATATCCAGCTGATTGGTAATATTAAAGGTAATTTTTACAACTAAAGGCAATTCCTTATACCTGAAACAGTTTCACCATATTTATTGGTTATTATCAGTCATGGCTTTTAAAATACAAATAGCTCAGCAACTCATTTTCCCAGTTTTGTTAAATTAAAGTGCATGTTTACTTGCTGAAAATAGCCATATCTAAGTTAATCATACTCAGATGCCAAACAAAATATAAACAATAAAAAATGTGTCAGCCAAAAAGCTACAGGACTGTATCCAATCACTGAATAAGCCTTATCATTGTTTTCATCTTCATTCACAATTTATGAATGCCTCAGTCCTTTTGAATCACAATGGCTTCTAATTGTCATACAATTGAAATCTTAATTATTTGTCCATTAGGAAAATGCATCATCGTAATATTAGATTTTTTAAAAAATTTTAATACGCCCAAGAGTAGCGGACGCTTCTTTAAATGATTAGTTTTTATGTCAATGTCCAAGAAAATGGTTATCAATTACCAATCGTGACACGTCCTCTTAAAAGCTGAAGTAAACTGTTCCATACCTTTACAGGTTTAAAACACTGCTTCAAATAACAATTCTGGGCTAAGATATTTAGTCAGCCTGTCAGTTGGTTAGTTCGCTGGGCAGAGATGAAAACTGCCCCCAGGTAAGTCCGTTCGGTCTCACCACTTTTCCATTTAACCGTCTGGTTTAAAATGATACAAACCGTGGTTTTTTTAAAAAAAGTATAAAGCCAATGTGTTTTATTTCATAACATTGTTCCTATGGTCTTGGGACAATTTTCAAAGTAAAAAGAAAAAAAAAAAAAGACCTTACTTTTCCAGCATTACTTAATGCCTTACGAGCTACGCCCAGATACCGTCAAACGAACAGGTCTCCACGAAAGGATCCTGCTCGCAAACTCCTCAACATTCACCACGGCCAGCCGACTAACTTGTGTCAACGCAAACACCGCCTTTGTGGTGCGGTCCCTGGAAGCCCCAAAGTGTGGCGGGTTACTACGGACCAGGGTTTCAGGCCCCCAAATAACGCGAAGGAACGGGTCCCCCGACTGCAACCTGCGACTGGCTGTGTCGCCCGCCCACCGCCCGCAGCGGCGTCCAGCGGCGCCCACGCAGACCCGCGCCCGAGCCCTGCAGCCCGAGTCCGCCGGCCGTTCTTAAGAGCTCAGTGCCCCTAAAGTCCTCCAGAGCCCCGGGCCGCCCGGGCACGCGAGCTGCCGAGAGGGGCGGCGGGCACCCCGGGCAGGGGCGCCGCGCCGCAGCCGGCGGTCGGGGGCCGCGCGGGGACTCGCACCCGCGCGCTGCCCACCCCCGGCGGCCTGGTCATGGCCGTTGCGCCCGCTCTCCGTGCCCAGGGCGCGGGGCCGGGCGCGCGCGGCGGCCGTGGGCGAGGGGCCGTGCTCTGGCTCCCACGCCGCCCCGCAGAGCCCGCCGCAACTCCGGGCCACTTCTCCGCGGGGCTGGCGTGTGCGGGGGCTAACGAACGCCTTTTAACTGTCCGCAGGAGGAGAGAGCAGCAAAACAAAACAAAGGCATTTCGGGCCAGAGAGAAAGCTCGAGAAAGCGACGGAGACATGTACCTGAGTGAGACAGATGGGAGAATACATCATGACTTCGCCTTAAAACGCACTTTCCCGGAGATGCCCAAGAAAATCTTCGAGAAGCAAGAATTTCATCTATTCATTTTACAGTCATCTGAGCCCCGCGATGCGATCAATCAGGACGGGGCTCTGCGCTGGATCACCGCAACTTCACAACAAACCCAGTCCTCCTTAAATAGCCAAAGATTCAAGTTCACTCGGCGTGCTAGATTTCCCGGGGTGAAATCCAATCTACACTTTTAACCCTCTTGCAGTCCGAGCGCGCCGGCCGTGCTCGCCGAGGCCGCCGCCGCCGCCGGTGTTGGCTGCTTTTCGCCTGGGTTTGGGGATTTGTTTTCTGTTTTGCAGTTGTTGTTGTTGTTGGGGGCTAGGGGGTGCGCGGAGGTTCGGTGTGGGTCGGATTGGGGTGGTGGTTGGTGGCGAAATGCTTTTTTAAAAAAGGCGGGGAGGGGGGCGCGGGAGGGCGGGCGGGAGAGGGAGCGAGGAGAATGTGTCACCGCGCTGGGAAAGTTCAAGGTTACAGCCCCGAGCACTGCGGCAGGATCCCGGAGTGGTGATCGCAGGCGAAACTTTGCCGCGAGCCGACCATGTGTGTGCGCGAGGGGGAGCGCGAGCGAGTGCGCGCGGGTGGCGGGGCGCGCGCGGGAGAGGGCCGGGGTGGGGGCGGGGTGGGTGGGGGAGAAGGGAGAGGCCGGGGTGAGGGAGGGGGCGCGAGCGCAGGTCTCCGGGGCGGAAGAGGCTCGCGGCGCGCGGTCCCCGGCTGCAGCGGCCGCCTCCCGTGCCGGCTCCTCCGCGCCCGGCCGCCCGCCCGCCTCGCCCCGCGTCTGACCCGGCCGAGCGAGGAGGCTGCTCTTGCCGCCGCTGCCCAGAGCCCAGGGGGATCGAAACGATCTCCTGAGAAATTCCACACGATAAATCCCGCTCTCCCGCTCAGCTCCAAACTCCTCTCTTTTCTGCTCTGGGCTCTTTTTTTTCCCCTCCCTCTCTCGCTTTCTTTCGTTGCAAAACTTGGAAGTTGAAAAATTCACCGGTTCCACCCTCTGGACCCCGCTGGAGCTCTCTCCAAATCAGACTTAAGGATTGTTTTATTATTTAATTACACAATCATCGCTTTACTCCTCCTCCTGCAAACGCGCATTCCTTTTGCACCAGCCTCTCCACACACCCCGCCCCCCACCTTCCTCCTCCTCCTCCTTCTCTCTCCTCTCTCTCTCCCTCTCTCTCATTTGTTGAATTTGTTAAAGGTATCCTACCGGTGCGACAGAACCATGACTTTTTTTTTTTCCAAAATAGCACTTCTTTCCGCCACCCTCCCCACTCCACCACACACACATACACACCCCCGAAAACCCGCCCTGGAAGAGGTATTTCGGTGCTCGCTGCGACTCTTTAAGCCGCATGAACATCCGAGTGGGAGAGCACTGAACCGGTCTGGGCCCGAGAAAGGAACGAATGGAAAATTCCCTCACACCCAGGCCGCCCCCGGGCCGGGGCCGGGGCGCCGACACTCGCACCCGGGGCGGGCGCGGTCTGCCGAGCCCGCGGCTGAAGGAGGAGGGGGAGCCGAGGAGGCGGAGGCCTGAGCGAACTTGGGCTCAAGTAGTTGGGGCGCGCCGGCGCGGACGAGGGGGGCGCCGCGCCCGGCCCCCGGCTGCCCCTCCCGGAGCCCGCGCTGGCGCGCAGGAAGGGGGTGCCGGGTCCTCCCCGCCGCGGCCCGGCGCCCTGGGCACTTGCGGCGCGAGGCGCTTCGCCGCGGTTTGCCGCCCTCCCTGGGGGTGCCCCGTGCACGTGGCCTCGCTCGGAGCGGGAGGACCCGGCCGAGCCGCCGCCACCGCCTCCTGCTCTCTCCTCCTCCTCCTCTTGCAGCCCCGCTGGCTCGCTCCCAATCCCCACCCCCCGGGGCCCGGGACGCCGGCCGAAAGCGGCTCCCTCCCCGCCGGGGTGCAGGCAGGGCGGGGCCGCGGCGCGCCCGGGGCTGCGGGGCGGGCGGGCGCGCGCGCGCGGGGTGCGTGTGCCGTTAGGCCCTCCAGAGGCTGCCGGCCCGGGCCGCAGCACTCCCGCGACGCGCCCGCCCCCGCCCGGGCTGCGAGGGGCCGGCCCCGAGTGAATGAACTTGATTCCCGGGAGTTTGAGGGAGGCGGTTTGCCTTGCACCCTCTCTGCACACACACACTCACACACGCACACCCCGCCCCCCAAATCCGGTTTTCTGCTCGGGGTGGGTGGGGAAGAGGTGGAAGCAAAGTCTGCCCAGACAATGGAGAGAGGAAAAGTGAGTGCCTGGGGCTCCGCGTCTCCCTAGTGGGGGGCTGCCGGGGGCGGCGGGGCCCCGGACCGGCCTCGGCTGGCTGGTCCCCAGGGCGAGGCCGCCCCGGCTTCCGACGGTGGTGTCGGCGTCTCGAGGCCGGCCGCTGATTCCCCTGTCTTCTTGCTTCTTGGTTTTTTCCCCTCAACTTTCTCCTCTCTCTGTCTCTGCTCTCCCGCTTCTGCCCACCGTCCCCCCTCCCCTCCCCCAGCGGACCTGAAGGAACCAGTGACTTTTTCCTTCCCCAAGTGGGAGTTATCCACATCAAGCATTTCACAACGACACATCAAGAAAAGTAGGCAGGTTCAAGTCAACCATGAAATGGTCACTTTTTAACCCCGTCCTGTCCTCATTAGGGAAATGCTCAAACACAGTCCGTTTTCAAAGAGCGCTCTTAATGAGGCGAGCTTGCCAAGTCTACCAGCTGCAGCCCCCGTAAACCAAGGGCCCCACGAAGAAAGGCGCTGGGGGGTGGGGAGTTCGGAGGCCGTGGAGTGGGGGGCGGTGGGTCTGGGGAGACAGGTAAAGTCGGGGAAATTGCGAGAACCCCCGCGAGTTAACCCTTTCGGGCACACGCCTCCGGCAGCAGCAGCCTCCCTGCTCCCCTGTTCCCCGCCCTGCAAACCCTCTAGTCAGCGTTCTGACAGCGTTAATTTCCTTTGTGCGGGTCATTTCTTCTTTTTGAAAAGCTGGGATAAAGTTGACAGTCTTTAAAGATGAAAGAAAATGAGGTGACAATCGGGGTTAATCCAAATAAATACTCATTTCTCTCTCAGAAATTTTAGGCCACCTCATCTTAGATTTAAAAAAAAAAACAAAAAAAAAACCAAAGCATCACTTTGTTTTGCACATCACACTGCATCCCTTTTCTCACCCTCACCAGATCCTGAGGGGAGGGGGCGGGGAAGCTCTACTGATAATACCAGCTTTAACTACTGGAGTTTCCCTTTGAACAAATATTCAATTTAACTGGAGTTAATTTACCATAAAAGACATTCCCCTTGGCAGGAATGCACTCATATCCTTGAACACACCTCTTTGAATGCCTGGACTCTTACAGAAGCCATTATTTCAGGTCTCTTTAAAAATCCAATGCCCATCTCTCTCCTTCTCTCCCTCCCTCCCTCCTTCCCTCCCTCCTCACCACACCACCCCCAGTGAAATCCTGGCACCCAGAGAGCTCTCCTTTCAGCCAGAGAGCCCAGAACCAGCCGTTGTCCCCTGGCAAAAGAGGCCCAGTGCTGAGCCCTGGGCAAGTGTCTCCAGACATCGCCACCCCTCCTCCCCTTATTGGTTTCCCTTCCCAACAGAAACCATTTCCTTTTGCCACAAAAACTAGGTTGCATCCAAAAGTTTCTCACAAGCTTAAAAAGGAAAAAACGAAAAGTTGACAACCATTACACAGAAGAGCCCACAAAAGCTGCAGCAGCACCAGGGTGAAGAAGCAGCGTCAGACCCAGGTAAGACCTCGGAGAAGTGAACATGGCTGGGGCCTCCCAGGCCCATCACCTAGGGGTTCACTTCTCTTCCAGGTGCCCCACGTTTGCAGGGTGCTTATGGCTGGGTGCACTTTGATGACCATTGAAAATGCTTAGTAGTTTGAGGTTTTGATTTGTTTCGAAGAAAAAGGAAAATGAGAAAAGTAATGTCGAGGCCAGGAGTACCAAAAAGGAGTGAAGAATTAGCAACAGAGACATCCTGGAAGGGAGGGCTCATGGGGATTTATGTGGCTTTGACTGTCCTCTCAGGCCTTGGAGCCATGGTGGGGGATGGCTGACATCCCTCAAGATGCTGTCTCTTGTCCAGCCAAACCCAAGGTCACTGCAGGCCTTCCCAGGAAGAATACTAGGGAGTCTTTTTTAATGAAGAACTGGGGGATTTGAGTGCATGGGAAGTCTGGCTTCTCTCAGCACAACACTTGGCCACCACCTTTGGTGTGAGAAATGCCAATCTTTTAAATCCCAGGTAAAAGAATGGAGAGGAAGAACTGAGAAAGTACATGCATTTTATTCACTTTCTCTTTTTTTCCAGCATTGTGTCATGGTATTATGAGTAGTTTTAAAATATCTCTGATAAGCTTCTGATAGTATCAAAATGGGCCAGACACTTCTCAGACTTTGGTACTTACCTCTCCTAAACTCTCATCTTTTCCTTCCACACTGACAGGGTTAAAGCACTCTTAAGACAGGCCACTGTCATTCACCCCAAAACCTGGCTGAGGAGCTGGAAAGAAGTGAATGACTCTCTCAGCAATAGGAAAATCTTATATTTCAGTATTCCCAAAGATTTCCCACCTAGATTACCTATTCCCTGCTACCTTATAGGGAAAAAAGTTTCTTTTCTAACTGCCAGAAAGTTTATTGATTTCTAAAAGGAATGCCAGTGCTTCAGGTGATTAGATTTTTCAAAACCCAATCATATTTAGAAATAAGCAATATTACCCAATTTGAGTCTTTCACTATTGACTTCCACAGAGAAGTCTGACATCTCAGATATCTCCTAATCTTGTTTTTCTTTTAACCTTTTCCTCTCTAAAGAAACTGCAGCGACAGGTTGCAAATCCTGGATTGTTTCAGGAAAGGTTTCTTGGAGCTTAACAAAGCTGTCATTTTCAGTACACCCAAGGACTTTTTTTTTTTTAGCTCTTGCATGTGATTTGCAAGAAAGCTCAACAATTCCACACACCCTGGCTGCATCGCCAATATCAATATTTAAAAACTAAATACAAAAGAGACAGATGACCTCCTGACCCTAGAAAACAGGCCTGCAAAACTGCAAGTATAACCAGGGACCTTTCTTTTTCCAATGAGCCACAAAAATCATACATGTGTAACCTGGAAAACACAAATTTATATCCACAAGAAGGAACACCAAAAATCCACTCATAAATGCATATATAAACAACCAACAAGTACTGAAATTGCCTGCACTTGATGAGAATTGCAAAATCATGCCCGGCTCTCAGCCCTTAAACTACTACTGTAAAATTAGGGTAGCAATTTTTCTGCACTATAGTATACACAAGCGGTTTGTCTCCCTACCCCCATTGCCAGTCCTTTGCCTTTCACTGAAATGAATAAATAACCTTGGACTTTTTTCCCTTCCTTGGGGAGCTGTTTGGTGTCCCCTGAGGTCAAAACTAAATGAGAAAAAATGATGCTGTTAATAATGTTGCTGCTGAAATGCCTGTACTCAACTGTTTAAAAAAAAATACCGTCCCACTAAGCGTGTCTACATTTTGGGCACATTTACAAGCTACAACTCTGAATCTGAACACTGAGTGGGCCAGATTCCTCCATTAAGGTTAGCCAGTTTTCACTTCTCTCATTCATCAGAGATTTTCAACTTCGGAAAACATTTGCTTCCCAGATTACAAAGTCAGTAGTTGCCCTGTAACTTTTGCATGATTTATTTGAAGATCGAAAATCGAGGTAATAGTTGCCTCGTTTTATTCACAATACTGCAAAGATTATATACACTCACACACATTCTCTGCTGATAATGTGAGAGTTGTAGTTATTGCTCTTTTTCAAAATAGCTGACCTTTAAAGTAAAACTATGCTATCATTTTACTTCTATGTGTAAATTGGCTTTTGTAACCCATCTACACATGCCTTTGTGACATATGAAAACAGATGGGTTTTAAAGAGATGTACAGAAAGCTCAGTCTAAAATGGCTAAGTAGTCTTTACATTCTGTACAAAGTGTAAAAAGTGCACTGAAGAGAAACTCAAACTTTCTGCACCCCATTCTCTAATTCTTCCTTTGGAAACTACTATTCTATTTCAAAATCAGAACAATACATAACAACAAAATTGTACATTTAAACTTTCAAATCAAAATTTATGAAACAATTACATAATTACAAAAACACAAGCAATTGGTCCTATACAAAATATATGTTCAGTAAACTTTATCTCTGAATGTATCTGAAATATTTTAACAGCACAAGCTAATAAATTTCAAAGCAATAGTACTGTCAAATTGTGTAATGTCAGAAACTCCAAAAACAAAGTTACAGATGTTTGTGACATCACATTTGCTCAAAATTATGCTGCTGCTCAGTCTGACCATATTAAAATTAAATGGATGCCTATGTCTGCTAAAGAATAACAGAAATTTATTTTGGACATCAAACAATGAAACTGTCACCATTTATTGTATGAGATACTCAGCTAATCAATTTCCTATTAAAATGGCTTTCAACAATTCTTGGCTTTAAAATTCATCAGGGCCAGTAAAAACCTTTTCCCAGTGCACAAGAATGCAGTCCCAACCACCAACGATAATTACCGTTCTAATACTTTTATTGCCCAAGCACTTTTCCTGTGCTTCCCTCACTTAGGCAGGAATTTGCAGTATATTGTATCAGTGAGTTGGAGTGCTTGACCTTTGCCCACATATGATTTAATAGGGACTTTTCAGCGCTGGAGCTTTCTCCATCTCTCATACCATTAAATGAAAACATCAAACCTCAAATGTAAAACTGGAAACCACAACGTTTTGTGTTTCACAACTCTTTGTAGTTTTTACTTAGGATGCTTAAAGGTCAGCTTCTTCACCTCACATTTCTTTTCCCCATAGAATATATACACTCCAAAGTCACACTAATGCTGATTTTGATTAAATCTTGAACTCCTTAGTCATATACACACATGCACCCTGCTTATTTACACGTGCATTCTTTTCTAACCACATAAGCATGCATGTGTGACTTTCTGGACTTATTCCATTATAGGCTGATTTAAATGTCTGTTCAAGTATAGGTTCAAAAGTTAACTTTTTCCCGCCTGTTGGACACTAAAGTTACAAGGATGGTGCTATAAGATCCCGTTCAAAGAAAGTCAGAGTTAATCTTGTGTATTTTGGCGCCTTTTCCCTGCCAGCTACTGTACTTGGGGGGGAAAAAAAAAAAAACTTGGAGATCTTGTCTGTCCCGTCTCAAGTTCAATGGCAGTTCTTCCAACCCGAGGAGAAGATGGCCATGTTCACAGCCCTAATAATAATTCTGATCACGCCACTTCGGCATCTTGTGTCAAAGTTGAAACTGGCTTCCCCGCCCCCTTCAACCTGAAAGCTGCCAAGTCCTCAACACACTTCGCATTCAATCACAACTTAATGGATGGGATATTGTGCATTAAAATGTGTCCCAGACATACTGGCAAAGAGAGGACAAGGGAAATGGGAGACAGACAGACGACACACACACAGACTTAGAGGGGAAAAAAATCCTAGAGTAAAAATAACGGGGGGTGGGGGGGGAGTATTAACAGGAGTGGGAGGAAGTTAATCATAATCTTTTTTAAAAAAAATTGTTAGGGGAAGGCAGGAGGAGGGCTAACAATTCCATGGACAACTTCAGGGACAAGGAGGTGGAGGAGGGGGAACTAAACTTCAAAATGAATACCGATTTTTAAAACTCCAACACAATCATCATAGCTAAATAGTACTTCTCTCACTTAAAAAATGTATTTTAAACGAGAATATGCAACAGATTTGACCTTAATATGAAAAAAGAATACTTAAAGAAGACAAAATGGGCTACCAGGTAAATATCATTTGCACAGTGATTTTTTTTCCAACATTGAGGGGACAGGAGGAGAAAGTAGGGAGTTGAAGCAGGGAAAATACTAGATTCTGCACTGTTTGGACTCACAACCTTATTCACTCATGCCTGCCATAAAAGTGTGTCACATGTACTAAAGTTACCAAAGCTACAAAAAAAAAAAAATTGCATTAGTTCTGGAAATCCAGCACCAAAGCTCAACCTGTAAAGCAGAAATTACATTATGAAAGGGGTAAAACAGTCACTTTACAATCCACAAACAGGAAAGAAAATTGTGCCAGGGGTACGAGAGGGTGCAAGGAACGAATAAGACAAGCAAATAAAACCCATCATTTCAAAGTCACATACCATCGCACTGTATTGCATTAAATAAAAGATATCTTGAGTCTGTAACACAACCCTGGGTCGCTGACTTCACGTGTCTCGGGTACAGATTTGTGGATTTTCTCAAGGGTTGTTTTAGTGTCGCTTTTTGTGTTTAGTTGGAAAAAAAGAAAAAATCCAGGAGTAGTCTTACATTTTTTTTTTTAAATTACTATTTCTGCACTGCCACAATTCTTGGCCCGAGAAGAAAAGGAAAGGCGGTCAAAGTCGAGCCTACGAGCGGGCTGTCCCTCAGTCTGTGTGGATATGCAGTTTTCTCTCCTCTCACTTGCAGAGAAGCCTGTTTCTCGTGGTTGACTTGAACGCCCGCCGTCCAGGCTGTGTGTGTGCGTGCGTGCGTGCGTGCGCGCGTGTGCGTGTGGTGGGTTTTATTGTTGTTTTAGCGGGGCTGCTCCAGGAGTGGGGGCTGCGCCGGGCAGATGCAGCCGGCGCGGCGGCGGCGGGGTCGCGCGCTCGCCCCGTCCCCGCCCTCGGATTGGCCTGGCCCGCGGCGGGGCCGCGCTGGAACCG